ACACACACACACACTCTTCACAGATGATGATGGCGACAGCACCATCTTTTAAGCCCATTTCAAAAAAAAAACCAGTTACTGATGGTATTGCTGCTGCTGCTCCTGCTTCTGCTACTGATGCTAGGAAGGAACCCCTATTTATATTCAAAATAGCCATACCCATCGCCTTCCCCCTCTCTCTCTCCCTCCATCCCTGTCCTATCTCAGTACATGACCGTCACGGCCCATCACATCAAACCCTCCGTCCCAATTTTTCGTTTTTTTTTTTCTTAAATCTTTTCCCTCTCCAAATTCCGTTCTCTTTTGGACGCATCGCTGTGCTTATATGCACGCTGATATGTGAAAGAAGGTAGTCATCGTTAGGCTACAAGTACCGCTCTCCTTCGATAAGCGGTCCTTCCGGCATCTCCTACGAAATGGGACCAGTGCAGAACCCTGTCCCCGCTGGACAGTTCTAGCTATTGTTTACTGATGTCCTGGGCATCCAGGAAAGTCCGATGGCCGTCAGCTTGCTGCTGGCACACTCAACACAGACAACGATTGTCACAGTTGCTATCTCGGAATGCAATGAGGCAGTTTCGTTTCTCAATGCCGCAAAAAGTACACAGTTCCCACATTTCTCCTGGCCGAGGCAAGGACTTATGTCATAGTCAGTGTGTAAAGCCGCACGGCAGTCAGGAGCTGTAGCGACGCGTAGGTGCTGCTCAGCGCGATCGTGCTGAAACAGGTGTGAGCTCACGACTCCTCAACAGTTCCAGTCCAGTCATGCATTTCTCTTCCGTCTAACCTTCCCAATTTTAGCCAGCGCTGCGTGTTCCACAAGAACTGTAACAAAAGTTGGTTTGGACACCCCGCTCACGGCCGCTGCAGGGGGTGACCGATGTTGCCGAGCGGCCATCACCAGATTAGCTTTAGTGCACGTCATAAACGCAATTTTGAACAACCCACGCGCAGCAGCTTCGAGTGGTCGAGGTTGTTTCAGTGACCAGAGTGTGCAGAATTGTAATAACCCGAAATCTGTCCGCTGTTTTTAGAGCGGCACTTCCCAATGACAACTGTGGCGCCGCAGATCAGAATCCTGAATTGCTGCATGATGTAAGTGCGAAATTCGTAAAATATGCTCGTCCGTGGAAAAGATTCAAAAAGTCATTAAATCTTTTTCTTCACGATTTGGAAATTTTGCGATATTTTTCAAGCCACGTTAGCGCTATCGACGATAGCATTACGCAGTAGTACCCAAGCTCTTCCTTCCGTTAACCCACATCCTGATTTGTTTGTGCCATTGATTACTACCCTCTCTGCACTATTTCCTCCAGTTTTTTGTTTAGGTTTAAGCTTTCTGCGATATTGTGACCAATTTCATTTCGGTTAATGTATTCCCGGACTGCAGCCGTGGTCACAGTCAACATAAGGAATCAGTTCGTAATCGCTCATCTTCCATCAGTGTCCTGTTTGGGCGCTGTTCCTCGTACACCAATCTCTTTTTCGGAATTTCAAAGCTTTCATCGGATTTTTTTGGTATGGATGCATTGTCCGCCTAATATTCAGCAGCTAGTATAAATTTTATATGCCTGTCCTTCGGCATTCCA